CTGATGTAATAAGTGTATACCTATTTGAGTTTAATAGTACCTTTTCCTGATGTAATAAGTGTATACCTATTTGAGTTTAATAGTACCTTTTCCTGATGTAATAAGTGTATACCTATTTGAGTTTAATAGTACCTTTTCCTGATGTAATAAGTGTATGCCTATTTGAGTTTAATAGTACCTTTCCTGAAGAATAATGTAATAAGTGTATACCTATTTGAGTTTAATAGTACCTTTCCTGAAGAATAATGTAATAAGTGTATACCTATTTGTACATATTTTTTGCACACTTCTTTCGAACTTCTTTTTTTTGATATAGAAATACATCATGTAACAGTAGACGATGGATAGCTGAGAACTACCATTTTATGTTGGTCTGATATGTTATGTTTTAGAACCTATACGTGAAAGTAAATAAATCTACACATTTCTAATGAAAATGAATACAACTGGTATTGACAGAGAAATTCTAATGACACCAGTTAAGTGATATCAACCTCCATCGAGTAACAGCCTAGGCTGATGGATGTTGATGCATCGTGAAACTACAGTTCTGAGGTCCCTATTGGGAAATCATGTATGTGTCACAACATAGTCGTAAAGTTACAACGAAGTAATAAGGGGGTAGATGTAGCTGGATAGTTTTATTTTATTTTTTGATAAAATATAAAGTTACATGTATATATATATGTGGTATTCATGACGTTGTGATATCTGGTTGCAGTTTTTACCAGGGTAGGAGGATTAATGTATGTTTATGATGTTGTGATATCTGGTTGCAGTTTTTACCAGGGTAGGGGGATTAATGTATGTTTATGACGTTGTGATATCTGGTTGCAGTTTTTACCAGGGTAGGGGGATTAATGTATGTTTATGACGTTGTGATATCTGGTTGCAGTTTTTACCAGGGTAGGGGGATTAATGTATGTTTATAACATTGTGATATCTGGTTGCAGTTTTTACCAGGGTAGGGGGATTAATGTATGTTTATAACATTTAGATATCTGGTTGCAGTTTTTACCAGGGTAGGGGGATTAATGTATGTTTATGACATTGTGATATCTGGTTGCAGTTTTTACCAGGGTAGGAGAATTAATGTATGTTTATGACGTTGTAATATCTGGTTTTGTTTCATTTTATTATTAAGAAGCATATTTTAGTGGTAAAATTCACCTTTCAGATTTATCTGTTTATAATATTTGAGCCACATACTCTTATTCTAATATATATTTTTCAGTGAAGCCATTTCTGTATTTAAGATACAACTTTTTTCACACATTGTGTTTGTTTAAAACTTCAGTTACAATGTGTGTACTTGCTATTGTACTTTTGATGTGTGTGTGTGTTTTTCCCTCATAATTTTACATTGGTTGTTATGATGTAAGTTCTGGGTAGAAATTGTATACATTTGTATATTAGTTTATACACATTTCAATGATCATTTTTCAGGAAATTCTTGTTTTCTTTGTGTGAAGACCTGGCTGAAGAAGAAGTGAATTCATTACAGAAACTGTTGTGCGAAGACCTTAGAGCTGATTCACCAGAACAAGTTTTTTTTTATTTGCTGTGTAACAACATTATAAATAACAATAACCTGAGCCCCCTTGAAATAGCGTTTGAAATATTACATAAGCCCGATTTGAAAGGGAGAGTTACAGCATATGCTAGTAAGTACATAATACTGAAAATGTTCAATAAAGTTAAGATTTCCAAGATTAGGTTACAGCATATGTTAGTAAGTAAATAATACCGAAATTTAAATGATAAGAAAAACATTAGCACATGCCAGATTCAAAACAGACAGACTTCTCTCAAACACAAAAAGTCTTTAATTGTTATGTTGTTCTCATGTTGTAGGCAACAATGTGACTGAATGTTCTTGACATGTGTAAACTTACCCAGAGTTCTCCACTCTCCCACCTTCTACGTTAATTCCCTGTCAGGACGACATATATTTTCTTGTTGACAGTTGTGTTGTTACCTTTACAAACTATTAATTCTGAAGTCAGCATTAATTATACTGCTAATGTTTTTATTGTAACTTTTACAACTTTTCTGAAGGTCTGCATTATGTAGTCTGCCTTGAGCACGCAAAGAGTTCCTGTGGCTGTATTGTTAGCTCCCTATTGATCAATGTAATCAAGCCTTTAATTCTGTACTGTCTGTTGGTGTTCTTCACAGGTTTCTTTTACAGTTCTTGATCATGAGATTTTCGTTTTTTGAAAGGGTGGGTCCTCATGGTCCTCTGTTTTAACCCTTTGTTAGTTTTCTGCACATTGTTTTGTCTCTTTTTAAGACATTCCGGGTTAAAACAGAATAAGAACCATATGGTTACTATATCAAGGAACACTGGTTAAAAAGATTTCAAGGATGAGAGCAGATGAAGATAAGAACCATATGGTAACTATATCAAGGAACACTGGTTAAAAAGATTTCAAGGATGAGAGCAGATGAAGAGGAATGTCTTAAAAAGAGACAAAACAATGTGCAGAAAACTAACAAAGGTTCCTTTGACACCTTCATGTTTTATTACTAGGTACTCATACTTCCTCCCCTCCAACTTTTAAGGTGAGCGTAAGGAGTTCCTACATAAAATTAATTTTTCGGGGATTCTCTGTAAAGGTTATTTATACTTTATATCAAATCACACTTCTTGTATCTTGTTTCAGTCACTTTAGCAAATTCACTTGTACAATTGAAACATTTTATTTACCCTAACATCTTAAACATTGTCCTAAATGGGTCTTAGGTTTATTCTTTTGTTTTTTGGCTTCTGCCACTTTTGAACCCTAAGCAACTTGTTTACTGTATCATCTTTCCTTCAAATTATATTTTTCTTCTATTACTTGCATTGGGCAGATGATGTTCTGATATCTACACTCTTGATGCTTCACTTTCTTTATCTTTAGGTCTTATACTTGTACCCAGATCTTACTTTTAGCTTGGCATCCTCTTGCCTATCGTGTACAGAACTGGACCTTGGAGTGAGTGACATTGCCATAGCACAGGGTGCTTTGCCAAGAGGCACCAACATCATCGTTGCATTTAGCAGTTATTGTCAATTTTACAGAGGCAGGGGTGCCAAATACAAAGTTTTCACGGACCACATTTTTGCCTTGTGCTGACTCTGATTGTATACCTGCCTTAACTGATTTAATCTCATTCAGAGGAATATTTGTACGTCCTTTCGTTGTTATTCCCAGATCTTAGTCCTGCCATTAACATCGTGGCTTACATAGCTGATCTTCATTGATAACAATGATGTTCCCTAACACCATGAATGTGAATTTTGATATCTTTGCCAGTCAATGTACCTTGTAAAGAATATTCTGCAAGCCATCACATAGATGAATTCAAATATGTTCTTAAAAGTTTTATTGAGTCTCTGATTGAGATTATTCAACAGGTTGCAATCCCTAGAAGATTAGTTATTATCTGTTACCTGCTTAGTCACTTGGGCCTGTGTGTTGTGCATAGTAACCCGTGTGTCATGGGTGGCCTGTATGAG